CCCCAAAATATCTTGCACTCACTTTCCGTCCGGTAGGACATTTAATTTGTCCGTGCATTATTGATGAAGAAGAAAAAAAGATGGACGTCTTCTTTGACAGCATACCGAAAATTACCTATTTATTTCTTCAACCGCGTGCCAACCGCTGGGCGCATGCTCGGACATACTTCTACGCATGCGCACACTGTTTCGTTTAAACAATTACAAATATGGCAGCTTCGGTGTTCAATAGATATTTTTTTTTTTTAAGATTTCATCAGAAGCAAGGCGATAAAGCTATTAAGACGCGGGGGTGGGGAATCTGGGAGTGAAAGAGAGGGAGAAGGAGTGAAAGAGAATAGGTTTCAAGAAGAACGAAGATGGCGATTGACGTTTTGTTTAAATTTTTGAACATTGTAAGCGGCAGCGAAACAAGAAATTGAAAAGGAGTTCTGTAGGCGAAAGTGCGAGAAAAATAATTATTAGAATACAAGTGAGGGTTGCGTCAAGTTCAATGGTAACACGGATAGATTTCTATTTAAGTACCAGTCCCCTCAGGGTAAAGGTTATCATGGCCCTCCACAACTTCCTATCCCTCTTAATAAGTGTTGTGGCTATCTCTCCTAAACCCTATTCCGCCATCCATTTACTCACACTCGATATGCTATGCGTTGTTTTCATCTAGTCTTCAATCTGCCCTGTGTGTATCAGATTTTGCCAGCCTTCCTTCCTCCATTTCCCAACTGTCTCTTCCTGATATAAAGTATAAGTTTTCTATTGGTCTTCATTTTCTCTAAATGTTCGGCCTGTGGTATACACAGCATCCTCTTAGCTGGTCATAGCTTGTCCAAGCTGGTCAGAGCTGGTCTAAGCTAGTCATAGCTGGTCTTGGCTTGTCCTAGCTGGTCCAGGCCGGAGCCGGTCCAAGGTAGTCCTAGCCGTGTCCAGCAGCGCAGGGACGGATCCACACCAGGAGCCGTATTTCACAAGGTTGTGACCAAGGCCGTGAGGTTGAATGATTTCACTCCGGGCCGCTGGTCCAAACTGGTCTTAGCTGGTCTAGCTTGTCCAGCTGGTCAGAGCTGGTCTAAGCTTAGTTGCTGGTCCCCCCCCAGCTGGTCAGGCCGGAGCCGGTCCAAGGTTGTGACGTGATACCAGCAGCGCAGGGAACGGATTTACAAGGTAAGTGTATTTACTTGACCCCGAACTGAGTTTCACACAAGGTCAGTTTTAACGAGGGGCCAAATGCTGCCGCTGGTCCAAGCTGGTCTTAGCTGGTCATAGCTTGTCCAAGCTGGTCAGAGCTGGTCTAAGCTAGTCATAGCTGGTCTTGGCTTGTCCTAGCTGGTCCAGGCCGGAGCCGGTCCAAGGTAGTCCTAGCCGTGATACCAGCAGCGCAGGGACGGATCCCTACACCAGGTAAGTGTATTTACTTGACCCCCCACTGAGTCAGGTTGTGACACAAGGTCAGTTTTTACCGTGGGAACCCGAATGTTTTCACTCGGGCCGCTGGTCCAAGCTGGTCTTAGCTGGTCATAGCTTGTCCAAGCTGGTCAGAGCCGGTCAAAGCTAGTCGTAGCCGTGATACTACCAGCGCAGGGACGGATCCCTACACCAGGTAAGTATCCTCTTGTAGAACCATATTTGCATCCCAATTTTAACCCGAGGTCAGAGATAGCTAGTTTTCGTAAATCTGACCAGTTTCCTGTCAAATTCGTATCGTAGATTAGTGTTCTAACGGGTGAAACAGCGTCAAAAAACGGTTGGCGGGTAAAATCCAAGTCGTTGTGAAAATTAAACACAGGTGGAAGACAATTCCAAAGGAAAATCTTCTAACAATTGTAAGAATTTGGATATGTACTCATTTTATCATGACATGAGTAAACTATTAATAAAATTAATGTAGATAAAACCGATAGATATGCTTCTTGGTCGGCCATCTTTGTTAATCGCCAAAACTCTCAAAGATTATTTTTTAATCTGCAAAAGAAATTAAATCCATGTGAAAAAGAAAAAAAAAAAAAAAAGAAAAAAAAAACGGTAAGCTTCTATCTGTATTAGAAGTCCTTATACAGAGTAACCCGGATGTAAGAGAGTTGTCAGGACCGGAGAAGAAGTCTCTTATATCCGGGTTTATCTTATATCCGGGTTTATCTTATATCCGGGTCTAATTTACATTAATATACATTAACACAGGCTCTAATTTGGGACCAGAGAAAATCTCTCTTATATCCGGGTTTCTCTTTTAACCGGGTCTCTTATATCCGGGTTACACTGTACCGAAAAATTCACCTTATTTATTGAAGGAACCTCGTATATTAGCTCTACCACTGATATTGGGCGCTTTCCAATAAGTATCGTGCATATATAATATATAAATAATATACAGTGTAACCCGGATATAAGAGACCCAGATATAACAGAAACCTGGATATAAGAGAGATTTTCTCTGGTCCCAAATTAGAGCCTGTGTTAATGTATATAAAATAGAACAAACCCGGATATAAGAGAAACCCGGATATAAGAGAAACCAGGATATAAGAGATTTTCTCTGGTCCCAAATTAGAGCCTGTGTTAATGTATATAAAATAGAACAAACCCGGATATAAGAGAAACCCGGATATAAGAGAAACCCGGATATAAGAGAGATTTTCTCTGGTCCCAAATTAGAGCCTGTGTTAATGTATATAAAATAGAACAAACCCGGATATAAGAGAAACCCGGATATAAGAGAAACCCGGATATAAGAGAGATTTTCTCTGGTCCCAAATTAGAGCCTGTGTTAATGTATATAAAATAGAACAAACCCGGATATAAGAGAAACCCAGATATAAGAGAGATTTTCTCTGGTCCCAAATTAGAGCCTGTGTTAATGTATATAAAATAGACCAAACCCGGATATAAGAGAAACCCGGATATAAGAGAAACCCGGATATAAGAGAGATTTTCTCTGGTCCCAAATTAGAGCCCATACTTACCTAAACGAAATAGACCAAACCCAGATATAAGAGAAACCCGGATATAAGAGAGATTTTCTCTGGTCCCCAAATTAGAGCCTTGTGTTAATGTATATAAAATAGACCAAACCCGGATATAAGAGAAACCCGGATATAAGAGACTTCTTCTCCGGTCCCGACAACTCTTTTGTATCCGGGTTACACTGTATATAAAAATTGCATATACATACACACACACACACATATATATATATATATATATATATATATATATATAGGTAAATATACTCGTCTCGAAAAACCTTCGAATTTTTGATTTGCCAATAATCAAATCAATCTCGAGGGAAAAAAAAAGGTTTTAAAAAAAGAACGAGCTAGAAACATGAAAGTCTGTCGAGAAAAATTGCACAGATGCAGGTCTGAAGCCCAAAGAGAAAAACCCCGACATGAGTAAACAACTAACTAACAAAAGAGCTCAATACAACCGTAGAGCAGACCTAGATAAACCTAGTGAGCCAGACAAACCTACCCAGGTTTCACCTAAACTGATCGCCAGGGAAAGCTGGCTAAAGAGGCAAAAGAGAAACGGCATATTTATAGGCGATAATCAAAATCAACCACGTGAGCAAAGAAAAAGAAAAACAAGAAAAAACAAAAGAAAAACCAACACCGGAGGGGGAGGGGTTAAAAATTTATTTAAACGACTAAAAGGGGAGGGGATATTTAAAAAAATCACGAACAATAAAGGTGGAATGACAATAGAATTAAGGGAGATTAGCCCCTAATTCAATAACCAAGATTTTCTATACCTGCATAGGGTAAAAATCTCGGTTTTAGAGTTTTATAGATCGATAGGTTCCTTATATAAAGCTATGGCCAATTCCTCCTCTGTACATTGGTTGCAGAATTTGTGGCCTGCTTTATATTTGGAGCATTTTTTTTAAATATTTCCCATTTAAGGATTGGGGTTTTATTATTTTCTTGACTAGTTTTCCATACATAGGGGGATAGCGTGGCACTATGTTTAGTTTTTTCGTTTTTAAAACTACTCGTGTGATTATAATATCTTTTTTTTTTTAATATCCTGAGTAGCACCTATGTATACTTTTAGGTTTGTATCCACCATATCCTTATAAATTTTCGCCTGGTAAACAACGCATTCTTGTTGACATTTTCCCTGTAAGGGGCAGATATTTTTGTTCCTACAATTACAACTAGAAGAGCTACTGCGTGTATTATCCCTAGTTTTTTTCTTATTCAATCCACTAATTAAGGTCCCTATATACATACATACATACATACATACATACATATATATATATATATATATATATATATATATATATATATATAAAATAAAATATTTTCACTTTGCTCTACTTAGCGTATTGGGCACTCTTCGTTTTGAATTATTGCTCGCTGAAGTCTTTTTGTTTTATTTTTTAAAAAATGATAAGCTATATCATGTGCCTGACGAGTTGGGTAACCAACGAAACTTTAGTCGCAGATCACACGTAAGTATATGTGTATTTATTAATATATGTCTGTGTGTGTGTGCGTGTATGTCAGACGACCGCAAATAGTCACAAACTCACATCAATCCAACTAAATACGAGGGTCATTCAATAAATAAGGTGATAGATATATATATATATATACAGATAGAAGCTTACTTTTTTTTCAACGTAGTCTCCCAGTACTGTCACACACTTTTCCTATCTGTGCACAAGCTTCCGTATTCCCTCAGCGTCAAAATCTTTGGACTGATGTCTCAGCCAGTCGCTCACAACACTTTTGACTTCATCGTCACTTTTAAACTCTGTGCCTCTCGTGAACGCTTTCAAGGGACCAAACAGGTGAAAGTCTGAAGGGGCAAGGTCTGTAAGGGGGATGAGGGAGCAGTTCCCAGCCCAGCTCGTTGATGGGCTACATCAATTGGGTTGCTGTGTGAGGAATTGCGTAGTCATGATGCAAGATGACTCCTTCTGACTGATGACCCCTGCGTTTGTTCTTTACGTCTTCCTTGACCTGCCTCAGCAGTTCACAGTAGTTGGCACTGTTCACAGTGCTTTCTTTCTCAAGGAATGAAATGGTGATTGGGCCTTGCATATGCCCCCAAAAAACGGTGAGCATCACCTTCCTCGTGGAACGCTGGGACTTGAACTTCTTCGCTGGAGAGCCTACGTTTGGATTCAGGCTCATAGTGCCAAACCTATGTCGCGTCGCATGTGACCACCTTCTTCAGAAACTTATCACCATCCTTCTCGTAGCAGGAGAGACACTGCTGGGACAACTCGACCCTCCTCTGTTTGTGCTCTGCAGTAAGCATCTTTGGCACCCACCGGCAGCTGACCTTCGAGTAGCCAAGGTCATCATGGGCAATTTTGTGTGCTGTCCCAACAGATAATCTCAAAGTCCTTGCAATGACATCCACTGTCACCCTTCTGTCAGACTGAGTGAGGTCATTGACTGATTCGATCACCTCAGGAGACCTCACTTCTGTAGGTCTCCCAGGCCTGTCTTCATCCTCAACACTACTCTGTCCTTCTTTAAACAGTTTAGCCCACTTGTAGACATTTTTTTTGGCCGGAACATGTGGCACCATACACAGTTGACATTCTCCTATGAATTCCAACTGGTTTGCACCCTTCAGCAACCAAAAACTTGATAACTGACCGCTGTTCAATCCTGGAGCATGCTTCTTGGTCGGCCATCTTTGTTAATCGCCAAAACTCTCAAAGATTATTTTCTTTAATCTGCAAAAGAAATTAAATCCATGTGAAAAAAAAGTAAAACAAAAATAAATTTAAAAACAAAAAGGTAAGGTTCTATCTGTATTAGAAGACCTTATACCGAAAAATTCACCTTATTTATTGAAGGACCCTCATATGTGAGCTCTGTCACTGATATTGAGGGCTTTCCAATATGTATCGCGCATATATAATATATAAATAATATATATAAAAATTGCATATACATATATATATATATATATCTATATATATATATATATATATATATATATATATATATATATATATATATTATGTTTGATGATCCAAAATCAAAATCCTTTAAAAGGATTTTGGTGAAATAAATTATTGTCATGGTACCTTGAAGTGTCTGTTGTTCATTATATATATATATATATATATATATATATATATATATATATATATATATATATATATATATATATTAGTGGAAAATATACATACATATGCAAAAATATATATAAAAATACCCATACATGTATATTTTCAGAAAAAAAAATTTTCCAAGAGGAAGAATCCAGGTAGAACTCAATGTCTAGGACAGAGTAAGGATATAATAAAAGGCTTATGTACACATTTTATATATGTATGTGCGTGGGTGTGTGGATGTGTGTGTTGTGCGCGCGCAAATGGATGTGCCTATAAAGATATGCACGCCCTTCCGTAGTTATTGGACAATGGGTTTCATTTTGAGCTTCCATAGTATAAAAAATTTAAATCTCTCAGAAGGAACCGAACGAAAGAATCACATAAAATGTTTCTAAACGCTGTCACTGGAAACAATACGAATTTGACAAGAGGCAGTGAGGTGGGAAGAGGGGAAACCCGTTATTGTCGCAATTTGGCAAGGACATAGGGGTTGGTAGAGAGATGTGGGAGGGGGGGAGAAGAAAAACGCAACGGACCTCCTCCTACTTCTCCTCCTACTTCCCCTCCTACACCTCTTCTTCTTCTTCTTCTTCTTCTTCTTCTTCTTCTTCTTCTTCTTCTTCTTCTTCTTCTACCCCAGGGGTCCTCTAAATACAGACCTGTCTCTTTTCAGCGAGGAATGAGAGTCAAATTATGGGTTATTCCGGAGAAATGTCCTTCTCCAGTATGGAGCCTACCCGTCAAAATGCTTTTTTTGTGGGAGAGGAGGAGGAGGTGGTCGTGCGTTGCGTAATGAGTCGGGGGTGAGTTTAAAATAAGTGGTTCAATTTGCTTTCGAATTAATTCAATATCAGTAAGTCCACACAGCTATAAATGTATATGTCAAGTTCGGAAGGAAAGAGAAAAATGGTAAATATATATGTATATGTATACATTATTTTATTTATTCTGATATTGAAATACGCAGATTGAAAGTTTACCATTTTTCTTTTTGCTTCCAAACTTCATATATATATATATATATATATATATATATATATATATATATATATATATATATATATATGTAAGTAATAGGTTACAAAGAGACTGTTTATTTGACGGGTGACACTAGACTGGAAAAAATCCTCATCTTTGTTGTTGTCATCACTGAATTTCTGGGATGAGGAGTAATCTTTATTTACACTATTTACATTCAGATATATATATATATATATATATATATATATATATATATATATATATATATAGCGGGATGAGTCAAGTACTTACTGGAGTAGTACTGGGAACCGACTCTGTTAGCGATTTGCCGTATGTACGAGTTCTCCTTGGGATCTGGGTTGAGTTTAAGGCTCAAAAGACTCTCAAGGCACGGGACCAACCTAACAAAAATCCCATTCATTGCAATAGGTTAAAAGTGAGGGTCCAGTGCTGTGATGATAGAAATTCACTAATTAAGGTTTTCATTTTTGTTTTAATGTAGCATTTTTAATGTTTCAGATCAACCAGCACACTTTATGAGGGTTATAATCTGGAAGAAAACGGAAATCATTGATTAATTGCTCAAGTTTTTGAGAGTTCAAAGTTATATCTCAATAATAATTTAAAAATGGCAAGAGATCCCAAGAAAAAAATTAAAATTGCAAGAAAGAATTTAAAATATCCCAAAAATGAAAGAAAATTAATTTTTTTTTTTTAAGCATTTCACCCCAAGCAAGGCGAGAAGCCACTAGGACGCAAGGGGTTACAGAAGATTTGGAGCAAGATCAGATAGGAGTGATAGAGGAAAGGATGAGGAGAAGGATAGTGGATAGATCAAGGCAACTGGAGATGTCAATTGACATTACATTTGAATAGTTGGAGATTATAGCTCTCAAGGAAACTGGAATAGGAAAGGGAGTTCCACAGGCGAGACATGAAGCTATTGGAGTAGAGGAGACGGCTACATTTAGGAGTTTCGACAGTGAAGGAGTGAGAGCCTGGGAACCAGCGAATGCAGCTCCTCGGAGCAATTACCATGAAAGTATTTGTAGAACAGATAGAGAGAGGCGACAGCGCGTCTGTGAGAGAGTGACTGTAGATATACATATCCGCCTCTGGATCTTGTCAAGAACTCCGGGGTAAACAGAAGGTGCACCAGACCATATATGGCAGCAATACTCCATGCAAGGGCGAATGGTTGATTTGTAGATTTGAAGAATCGATTCCGGGGAGAAAAATTTCCTGGCGCGGTACAGGGAGCCAACTTTCCTTGCGGTGGACGAAGCAATTGACTCAATGTATTTGTTCCATCAGCAGTCAACGTGAGACCGAGCAGCCGCAGAGAGGTGCTCTCGAGAACTTGAGCGTTAGACATTCAAATGGAGGGCAGGGAAGGATCTCTGTGGTGATTAATAGAGAGCAGTTTTATTTTTGAAGCATTAAAGTTGACCAGCCAATTCCTGCCCCAGTTCACAACCGATTGGAGGTCCTTTTCGAGATGCACGGCCAGGTTAGTTTTTTCAGTGACATTAGATTTGTTTTCGAGGCAGGAGGAAATTGTACTGTCGTCCGCGTAGATAAGACATAAAAGATTTTTTTTTAATTCCTAGAAAGCAATTAAAAAAAAAGATTCTGAGAAAGAATTCAAAAATATCGCAAAAAATCCCGAAAAACAAATTTAAAAATCCCAAGAAAGAAATTAAAAAAAATGTCAGGATATTCGAAGAAAGAACTTTAAAAATCCCAAGAAAGAAATTAAAATAATGTCAGGATATTCGAAGAAAGAATTTAAAAAATCCCAAGAAAAAAATTAAAAAATCCCAATAAAGCAATTAAAAAATCCCAAAAATGCAATTAAAAATCCTAATAAGGCAATTAAAAAATCCCAATAAAGAAATGAAAACATCCAAATAAATTCTAATAAACCAATTAAACTTTCCTAAGGAAAAAAATGAAAAAATTCTAAGAAAGAACTTAAAATATCCCAAGAAATCCCAAATTAGAAATCAAAAAATGCCAAGATAGAATTTATAAAATCCTAAGATTGCTCAAGAAAGAACTTTTAAAATCACACTATGGAAATGAGAATATACAACGAAATACCAAAAAAGAAATTAAAAACACCCAATAATGAAATTAAAAAAATCCCAAGAAATTAATAATTCCCAAGATGTCCCAAGAAATAATTTCAAAAGTTCCAAGAAAGTAATTAAAAAATCCCAATATAGAAATGAGAATAGCCAATGAAATGCTAAGAAAGATATTCTAAAATCCAAAAAAGAAATTTTAAAACAAAACAAGAAAGAAATTAAAAAATCCTAAGAAATCCTATGGAAGTTAGAAATTAAGTTAGAAATTAAAATATCCCACGAAATATTTTAAAAAGTCCTAAGAAATCCTAAAAAAAAGTAATGAAAAAATCCCATGATAGAAAAAAGATTTTAAAAAAAGAAATAAAAATACGATTATGAACTATTATGTAAAAAAAAAAAATGGAGAAAAACTTTGTAAAATATTGTAATCTCGCCCAGAGTTCGGCAATCTTTTGCTATGTACCGACTTAGGGTTTTAAAATCATTCAGTGTGCCAACAGCAGACGTATTTTTATACAAGTCAAGATCAATATACCTGTTCTACAATATATTTTATATATTAATATATAGTATATATACTTTAGTATATACTAGCAGTATGGGCCGGCGTTGCCAGTGCTTGATTAAAAAATCGTACGACTCATACAGCAATCGCTATCACTTGACTTAAAAGAGTGCCCTTTACCATGCAGATGTTGCTACATGCCTTACTTCTTGCCTATCTCACACTGCGAATTTTTTCTAAGCTCTATACTAAACATTAAATCTGTTACGAAAAAAGAACTAAACAAAATGAACACAAAACGATCAGCTTTAAAAAAGGACTCGTAACTGGAAAAACCGAATGAAAAAAAGAATGTTAACAACAAATAATTTTTCACACCCAACCCAGTTCTGCGGAATCAGAATCAACGTTGAGTTTAAGCAAGCGAATAAGCCAATTGGAGTAAAGTGCCATACAGATTTAAATTTTTCCCACTTGTGACGAATGCAGCTAAGGATTTTTTTTTTTTTGCATGCTAACATGCTAGTTAACATTCGTGTCAGTCAGCTGTTGGCTCTCACGCTGGCCAATAGAATCTTCCTACATATTCGTGGCAGCCAGCTATAGGCTCTCACTCTGACCAGTAGAAAATGGCCGCAAACTACATGAAAACTGCCGTAGAAGCATGAAAAAATCGATTATTTCCACTATCGATGGGAGTTGGGAAATGCAAAGTCGGTCTTGGCCTTCCCGCTAACTTGGAGCATGTGCATGTAAATTTTGATGCAAATCCGTCGAAAATTGCGGCCGTGCATTCGTTACACCCCCGACCACACACACACACACACACACACATCCTGCCTTTTATAGATAGAGATTAAAATTGAAACAGCTAAATATCTTCTCTGCCTTGTTATTGGTTCGGACTTCGTGATGTCATTTGCGGCTGCGTGCCATTGAAAATTGCTTGGCGCGCCATGTGTGGCACGCGTGCCGTAGGTTACCGACCCCCTGATGGAGTCTACACGCGCTGTCAAAAATATCGCGAATTGTTAGAAAGTTTTAATACTGAGATGCAATGAAACAAAAGTTTTGAAACAATGCATTGAGATTATGTCGCAATAAACAATGCCACAATGAGAATGATGGCAAAATGAAGAAAAAGCAAATGTCGAAATCCAGAATAAACTGCGAAAATACGGACCAGTGAATTGATATCATTAATCTGTTCCCTTTATAGTTTTTACACATATATTTTTTGTTATATTACATTAAAAAAATGGATTTATATAAAGCCAAGAGTTAATCCATCAATCTTAGATAGTTATTTTCCAAGCGTAGCTTAGATGCGGCTCAAGGCCGAAAGTATGGTGCATCTAGTGAGGATCGAACTCACTACTCAGTCGTAATATGTCCTCGCGAGACAAGCTTGCTAACCATTACACTACGCCGAGGTGACCAGCAATTTTAGATACACTGACCATCAGAAAATAATATACAAATTCTCTTCCACCAATTAAATAAAGCTCGTATCAACATTATGTATTCTAAGATATTTGTGTACCGGACATTTGCTTACAAGACAATTGTGTCCCTGAATATTTGCATACTTCTGATAATTTTTGAAGCTTTTAAAGGCAATTATCATAAATTTTTAAAAAAAGCACAGTTAGTAATCATCAATTTTTAGAAAAGAAATAAAATTTTTAAAAAATTATGTTTGTTTAAAATGAAATGACAGGTTAAGAGTGTTACAAGATCGCTCTACACATCGCCAGGATGTTTTTGTTTCATCGGCTTTTATCTTATGATAGTGGTACTTGTAATTTCCCTCATCCACAAATATTTTTCCACCAGGGTTTGATTTTTGGAACTTGGCCATGGGTTCCAAATAAGAATATAATCTATAAAATCCAGAATCTATTAGATGTTTGTGGTACGCACTTGCTGGAGTGAACTGAAACCGCTAGCTTAATTTTCTCTTGCTTGAAAAAAGAAAATTTTCTCACTTTTTATATTTATGTTAATTATCTTTCTACTTGTTCAGCGTGGTCGAAGGTATCGGTGTGCAAATTTCTATATTAAACAACTCTTGAAATCAAAATGGTAATTTCGAAAAATTATCAGAAATCGGTTTTATAAGTATAACTCGATGTGAGTAAATATCCGGGGACGCATTTGTCTAGGGACATAAATGCAATTGTCCGGGACGCAAATGTACAGTGTGCAACTGTTTGTCCGCCGATTAAAAGTAGGTATGTTCAAAACTTCGCTAAAAAAAAAGATCGTACCCTGATGAAAAAAAAGGACCCAAACTTCATTAAACAATTTTTTATTGTCTAAATGTTTATGTTATTATTAAGAGGAAAGACCAAAGCATTTTTTTGAATATTTTTTTTTAAATTTTAATCCTTTCTATCCGAAATTTTAGCTAAAAATCTTGTTTTTTTTTACATGAAAGATTTAAATAAAAACACAATAATTATTAATAACTAGCAGCATGGGCCGGCGGTGCCCATGCTTGATTCAAAAATCGTACAACTCATACAGCAATCGCTATCACTTGACTTAAAATAGTTTTGCCCTTCCTTGACTTTAAAGGAGTGCCCTTTGCCGTGCTGATGTTGCTACATGCCTTACTTCTTGCCTATCTCACACTGCGAATTTTTTCTAAGCTCTATACTAAACATTAAATCTGTTACGAAAAAAGAACTAAACAAAATGAACACAAAACGATCAGCTTTAAAAAAGAACACGCAACTTGAAAAAAAAACGAATGAAATAAGAATGTTAACAACAAATACTTTCTCACACCCAACCCAGTTCTGCAGAATCAGAATCAACGTTGAGTTTAAGCAAGCGA